TAACCTTAAACCGCATAAACACATTTCATTACACCAAATACACAAAATAATGTTCTCTTTAGCAACGTCATATGACCCCTTTAAAAAGCAGAGTCACCACACATATGAGAACCTCTGCACTAGAGACTGAGTAATGCAATCTTTTTTGTCTGAAAAAAAATTTGTCTGATTTAATCACTTAATCACTATTAGAAATGATCCCATTTCATGCTGAGAATCTATTTCTATAATGATTCATTCATGCTAAATATCATAAGCTGGCACTATCACTGTTAAAAAAGCATATTGCAAGTCTATAAGCTTATCTCTCCATCTTTTCATCATTTATTCCTTATAAGTAAAATTATTTGCCAAATGTTCTAAATCTCCACACCAATATTCTCTCACCTAGCCCTGCGTTTGCGGACACGTCTCTCATGCTCGGTATATATACTTAAGATCCATGCAAGAAAAACTCTTTTTGTTTATTTTCAAAAGCAAAAATTAATGTTTGTATACAATATTATTGTTCATGGTGGGTGTAAAGAAGCGCACAACGAGAATCCAAACAGAACAATCTTTAATAACAAACACTCTGGAATACCCAGAAAACAGGAGCCATGGTAGCAACTTGGCTGATGAAACCAGGGGGACAATGGATTGAGACGGAGACGATGGAGCTGGGGACCCAGGCAGAGCTGAGGACACTGAAACCTGGGGTGATACTGGAGGCCTGGAAGGCTGAGGCGGCACTACAGACTCACAGTACAGAGATGGAAACAAGCTCAGGCTTGACAGGCTGGAGCAGAATCGGTGGGAGTGAGGACCAAGGTAGAACCAAAGAAAAGGAGGAGCACAGCAGAGTGTGAGGACTGATGGAGCCTGGTGAAGCTGAAGGGTCGGAGGGCTGAGGTGGAGTCCAGAGGATCCTTTTGCCAGGACGAAGCTGGAGACCAGAAGAACCATGGTGCATCCATGCAGCATGGTGGAGTAAATGAAGGAAGATCCAAAGAGGTGGAGGGAACCAGCGTAGGTGTGGCTGATGGACTGGCTGACTTTGGAGGAGGTGGTAGAAGGATCTCTGGAGACTCAGGATTTTTGGAGCTGGACAGAACCAGTGGAAATACAGGAGATTTGGAGCTGGCCGGGACCAGCGGGGGCAGGAGATTCTGGGTAGCATTCTCTTTCAAAACATATTATGGCTGGAAATCTTTTGGAATCTCATGATTCAATTCAAATCTATTCTTGGGGTCATGATTTGATTAAAAACTTATAAACTTTGAATTTTATTTTATGTAACGAAAATTAAAATGAATCTGGGTAGTTAGTGTGGCACGCCAAGGGCCAACTAGCACAGACATTTTGCACCTGTGTGAGAGGAAAAAACTGTCTATATCAGTAGGTGGCAGTAGTCTGTATTTGTCATTCAAAAAGAGAAAGCGAAACTAGGACTGCAGATGTACAAACCCTGAATAAAGCAGCATTTGCATACCATTTTGAATAAGAATCATGTTGATCACTTTCTTCATTCCAGACGGCCATGTTGTTATGAAAATATATGCAAATTTATATGCTCAGGAAAGATGACATAAAATTAGAAGTGCTTCTGCGTGCCTCCTCCTGACATTATTTGCTTGCTTTTATCACTTTTGTTTTTCTTCTCATGCACTTGTTCGCTAAGCCGGGCAGTCAATCAGAGTGATCTCAATCAACGACTGCTCAATGCCAATTCAACCATGCACAATTGGCCAGAAACCCCACAGGGGTCAGACTTGTACTGACGGTTTGAAATTCACTGCAAAAACTGAGCTGACAAACCCTCTATGACAGCTGACTGTTGGCATGGTATGTCACGGTCTCTATCAGACGCCAGGATGAAGATTCACTTAATGCCTGTTACCATGAACAACCCTGCAAACTACCCACAACCCAACCATTTCCAATGCAGGACAGAATGGAATTGTTTGTGGGCGTGTTGGAATGTGTGTCTGGTCAAGTACAACAAGACAGGCAGGAAGACATACAGATCAAAGTCAAAAAGAAGTGTGGAAAGTGTATGGAGTGAAATGTGCTGGAAATCACACAAAAAGAAATGTAGTTTTGGCATTTTTCGTGGAAACCAGTGTGAGAGGGCATCTAAAAACACAGCAGCCAAAATCACACAAATGAGAACAAATCGCACTAGAGTGGTAAATTATTCAGCACATATATTTGATTGCCTCAGTCAAACCCCAATCGTATTCCATGCTGGAACGGTTTCTCATATATAAAATCTTCGCCACCATTCTTTAATTATCTTTTTTCCAGGTGATTATCATTAAAATTTCAGATGTAAAACAGGCAACTGTTTAAGAACTACTATACATATAAGGCACTGCTTTTTCCTTATACAGTAATTGCATCAAAAATGATATATTTATCCAAGTGCGTACAAAAAAAAAAATCATTGCTCGAGACTGAGACTGGGCTATACCAGCAGCTGCATTATTCCCTCCTGGACCTGATCATGACGGGACACACATGCATTGAAACCGTTTAGTAAAGTCACCTTGATAGCGCTTTTTACATTGACAGATTGTGTCAAAGCAGTTTCACAGTGATGAACAAGAAAAATAGCAGAATGGAAACTCAACTATGGAAACTGCTGTAAAGCAGTTCTAAAAGATAACAGTGTCATTACTCAGAACAAGTCAGTTTAGTGTTGGTTCAGTTCAAAACAATAACAGTGTGAATTTGTGAATTTTACAAAAGGCAGCAATATCGTTATTCAGCTTTTGTCAGTTCAATGTTGATTCAGCTCATTAAGAAATGTTATTTGCTTTCAGCCAAAATGAACAAAACAAGTTTAAATCAGAAACCATTATTTTTGATTAGAACAATATAAAATTGCACTTTAAATAAAAGACATGGTCCTTTTTTTTTTTTTTTTTTTCAGCGCACTGATTCTGGCAATACTGATACGGAGTAACAAGGTTTGTATCAGTATTTATAAGTGCAGATTAAAGAAGTGGAGACTGTGCTTTAGTGACATTTACCAATCCAGCAGCGGTCTGACTGGAAAGATGTTTTGGCTTGTAATATATGGCCAGTTTTTGACATGCTTCATCTATTTTTTTTTCTTTGTAACTGCATGAAAAAAATGCTACCATTGAGCAACTTCTTTTGTATTACACAGAAGAAAGAAAGTCATGTGGATTTGGAATGACATAAGGGTGAACAAATATGACACAAATTTCATTTTGGGATAAACTACACCTTCAAAATTCCTTCACCTTACCCACTGTTTTTAAGGTATTCAAATCCAGCCTCTCTTGTGTCTAGGTGTCAAAAGTCTGTTCCCATATTCATCTATGGAAACTTCAAAGATTATATTTTGTGCATGTAATAAATATGCAGCTGTTTAATATGCAGCAGAATCTGTGTCTACCAGGAGCTGCTGTCAATGTGTGTTGATAGTGGGCTGGATGGTGAATAAGTAATGAAGTTCAGAACTCATCTGTTTCTCTATTCATCTCGGAAATTGAAGGAGACAAGCTAAAAAAAAAATATATA